ATCACATAATAAGGCAGAATAGTTTCTATACTGTAATAAATGCTATGTCAGTTAGCACTGCATTGTTCATATACTTTATTTATTACCTGGAGATGACTTGACAAACACAAATAAACCATATATTGTCGCAATCGTATGTATAATGTCTTCATGTTTCCAAATGTTTCTGTTTTTCTGTGAAAACAACTGTTTTCATACAGCGATAGCTGGATGCTTTTGTCCATATTAGGAATTTCCTGGTACGACTTTCTGCGCGAGAGCGCCCTCCGGCTTCCAGTATGAATGAAACATACACTGCACAGAGTGTTTAGCGCTCTGCGATGTTCATCTCGCTTTATTATTCTGGGTCCGAATAAAACATCAGATCATGCACAGTCACAGACTATCCTGTCTCTTTGAATTTAAATCTATATTTATTCACACAGGCTCTTGAAAACCTCTATGCGAACACACTTGCCCGAAAAAGTGCGGGGGACGAATTTACGTGATATTAAAAGTGGGGGGACACGTACCCCGCTTAATCTAGGCCCCTGGGCTACGCAGACACAAGTAACCCTGTTGTTCCGTCACAGATATTCAAACAGTCGCATAAGACAAACAGCAGGTGTCAAATGAGTAATTACGTTTGGAAAGGATGATCATTTGAATGCCAGAAGGAAGTTAAAGATGATCCTGATAGAGCCCTCAGGTATGTTTAATGCTATGTACACACTCTTAATTCCATAACAAACAGAGTTATCTTGAGGGCTCATCCTTATTATACCAATCTAGCTCATATATGACAGCAAACTCTCAAGAATAACCGAAAGAAAAGTGAGCTGGAGCAAATGGAATGGAAATATGTCATATATTTGGAATGGAATGTTAAATATAAAATACAAATTGGGAAAATATGGAAACATATAAATACATACGCCAGTGAAACATACTGTATGTGAATAAATGTGAAATATGGTTAAAATAAATAAAAGCATAAACCTTTAAAACTAAGTTATTACGATTGATATACGATTGATATGACTGCATTCATTTGATAAAAAACAATACTATTTTGATCAATGGCACTTGATTTGAACACACATCATTTTCGTCAGCACTTGACTAACTAATGCTAACATTTTCTTATTCTATTTGTCTTTTTTTTCTGGGAAAAAAAATGGTATGTGTACTGTGCACGACAAAAAAGAGACAGGTCTCAATGACCTTTATTTAAAATCATATTTTGCTGTGTTATATTTTTTACATTTGTAGTATTTCAAGAAACAGCATATGTATATAATAAAAGTAGCCATTAAATTTGTAACAGGCTTGGTATGTTGTTAAAGTCAGTTCTATACAATATAAACAGTATAAAATACATCCAGTAAGCAAGTAGACGAAAATGTAAATTAGAAATCAGAATCACTAACAACAATCCTGAGGTATTTGCATTTATGGAACGGATGAGTTATACCGAGTTACTCCTCCAGCATCTTGAACCAATCATTGCAAAACCCTGGATGGGTGTTTTCGGAGTAAAAGCCTTGGGAGAAACCAGGCTCAGTCGGGGGCCAGTGTAATAAGCAAGATTTTAAAATCTATACAATGTTTAATAGGGAGCCAGTGCAGTGTTGACAGAACCGGGCTAATATGGTCATACTTCCTGGTTCTAGTAAGAACTCTAGCTGCTGCATTGTGGACCAGCTGAAGTTTGTTTATTAAGCGTGCAGAACAACCACCCAATAAAGCATTACAATAATCTAACCTTGAGGTCATGAACGCATGAATTAACATTTCTGCATTTGACATTGAGAGCATAGGTCATAATTTAGATATATTTTTGAGATGGAAAAATTCAGTTTTACAAATGCTAGAAACGTGGCTTTCAAAGGAAAGATTGCGATCATATAGCACACCTAGGTTCCTAACTGATGACGAAGAATTGACAGAGCAGCCATCAAGTCTTAGACAGTGTTCTAGGTTATTACATGCAGAGGTTTTTGGTCCGATAAATTAACACCTCTGTTTTTTCAGAATTTCGCAGTTAGAAATTACTCCTCATCCAGTTCCACATAGCCTAGAGGATTCATAAGAAAATGGTGACATTAATACCTAAACTGCCTTCTGAACAGTAGACATGCATGCACAGCCATATTAATGATTATTCGTATTGCATTTTATCATCAAGTACCTAGCAGTGATCACATTTATGCATAATTTGCACACCTGGTAAGCAGTTCGTGTAAAGCTCACTGCAGTGTCTGCAAGGCTGCAGTGTGTACATTTTGTAAAATTCCTGGCATGGCTCGGACTTTGTTCTCCATTTTGTTACACCTGTATATTGAAATGAGAAGCATTAAAAAAAAATAGCATTATTACGAAGATAAAAATTCAGACATGGCAACTGAGAAATTGAATGGTATGGCACCATTTTAAGCCTATTTAATCAAATATGTAAAAGAAAATACATACTGTCAAGCCAGCAGAAGTGTGCCCTCTTTCGAAATGAGTCTGTATCCACCAGACTTCTGAATTTGGAACAAACCAAAGAGAGATTAAACAATGCAGCATCACCCTCCTCCAGGACCACATGAAGAAGAATTTCCGACAGAAATAAATGTATGCATGCATGTATGTATTTAACATGAATTCACAGTTCACAGGGTTCAAGGCTTAAGCTAGTCCCAGACTAAAATGCATGTTTGAGCTGTTTTAACTGAAAGCATATCTTAAAATATGTCTGTCTCAAGATGCACACCAGTAATGTTTTTTTTCTAAGGCACGTTTATAAAAGCTACTTAAATGTTCTAATTTAACTACGGCCTAATCCTGGCTTAATCCAAGCCCTGTCTGTGAAACCAGGCCTAAAAGTTATAAGGAACCGTGAACAGTTCCATTATATTTTGTATAGATTTTACAAAAAAAGACAACCAAGTGTTTTGCATTCACATGCTTAGAACTTCAACTGGAACACAGAACAGTTCCCCCCCCATGAAACTCCATGGAACAGAATTATACAGTATGTAAACCTGAACATAGATACACAGTCAATATCTGTAACTGCAAAATCTGCAAACAATACAAAATGACGAGGGGAGTAAATCTTAACATGGATGAAATCAAAATAAATAAATGTAACTAATTACATTTCACATACCATGATTATGGAGGTGCTTTTTAAAGTCAGGGGCACGACAAGATATGCTGGCACTTAGGGCAATGCCAATGTCACCTCTTCCTTTGTCGGGAACTCAAACAAAAGCAAGGAAAGCAATATTTTTCTAGAAAGACAAGAGCAAGTTAATACATTTTAACTTACAGCCAACATGAACAAACGTGTAAAATGCATGTGTGCTTTGTACAATGCTTACGGATGCCATTATCCTCAAAATATATGGCATGCTTTAAATGCTTTGCCTGAAAGTGTTCAGGATTTGACATCACCCCAGCTGTCCAGTGTAGGACAACTGCCTGTCCCAGAATAGATGTCATCTACTCCAAAAGCAAGTGGTACACCTGCACATGCATTGTATTAGAGAAAACAACATACCTCAAAATAGCAAAACAAACTCATTCATTTTCCCATGAATAAGTTTTTGCATGTTCTGTTCAAATTAAGTTCGTAAGATTTTGGAAATGAAATGGCTTACCTGTCATAACCGATAGTCAGGTACACAAAAGGTGAATACAGAAATAAGGGAAAGAAGGCAGAAGGCAGAGAAAGAAGAGTAGTTCTTAATAGAACTGTTTGGTCAGTTGTCATTGCAAGACGAAAAAATAAATCAATAAGGATAATGGATATCAGACAATCTCCTGAAAAATTAAACACACAAAAAGATATGGTTAGAGTTGCACGTGTATCTAATATAATTCCAGTCAAACAACATTCGCTTTATATTATTCAATAGACTCTGTTAACACGTTAACAAACGTTAATATTTGTTAAACGTAATATTTGAAGTTAATGGTAGCCCCTAACATACTAAAAGCAACGATTATACACGACTACGTTTCTACCACTAATTAGATTACATTGAACAATTAAACTAAAGTAGGCAAAGTTACACTGTCGTTCACTAAGATAACAATTATTCATTACTCCGATCACTAATTTCCGAACTTACCGCTCGAGCAATCGCCGCCATTACTAAAGTACTTGGCTGCTGTCGTAGTTATGTGATTGGTTGGTTGCGTCCAAGTTGGTCGCTACTGATTGGCTGCTACCGAATGGCAGGTCCCTCCTACCTTCCGGCTGTCAATGGCAGCCACTTCCTGCTGCCAGCTGCCGATTTTTTATCTGAACCCCTGCTGGAGACAGCTGCACATCAGAGAGCTAAGCAAGATCGGCCTAGCCATTTATCAACAAAGAACATAAATCATAAACCATTAAAAACATTCCAGCACTGAGCCTTCACATTCACTGCTTTATAATATGGTTTATATAGAATGAAGTTCAGAATTGTTTTTCTGCAATTACTTTATCCTGAAGGTCACGTTAAACACAGGTGCAGTAACATTAGTTTTTCAAAATTGGTTCATAAATTATATGAATCATATGAACAACTCATGTGATCATTGGAAATCTTATATCAAGCTTTTTTTATTTAACATTTCTTCTTATTATCAATACTGAAAACAGTAGTCCTATTTAATATTTATGTAGAAACTGAGATCCATTTTTTTATGTCCGGATTCTTTGATTAATAAAAAGGGCAAACATTTATTTGAAATAATTTTTTTTTGTAAATGTCACTTTTGATCAATTTAATGCCATCTTGCTGAATATTAATTTGAGAGAAAAAAAAAAAGTTAGTGTAAGCTAGTGTAAACCCAAATGTTTAAATGCTAATATATATCAAATAAAACTACAATCATTATACATCACATAATTCGTTTTCACAAATTGATCATTCATTTCACTCAGTGAAAACAGAAATGGGCGGGGGGGTAGAAAAGAGGAATGGTTTTAAAAGACGACTTTAAAAAAAAAAAAAAAAAAAAAGCTAAATCCTGAGCGAACAGGAATATTATCAACAAAGAACATAAATCATAAACCATTAAAAACATTCCAGCACTGAGCCTTCACATTCACTGCTTTATAATATGGTTTATATAGAATGAAGTTCAGAATTGTTTTTCTGCAATTACTTTATCCTGAAGGTCACGTTAAACACAGGTGCAGTAACATTAGTTTTTCAAAATTGGTTCATAAATTATATGAATCATATGAACAACTCATGTGATCATTGGAAATCTTATATCAAGCTTTTTTTATTTAACATTTCTTCTTATTATCAATATTGAAAACAGTAGTCCTATTTAATATTTATGTAGAAACTGAGATCCATTTTTTTATGTCCGGATTCTTTGATTAATAAAAAGGGCAAACATTTATTTGAAATAATTTTTTTTTGTAAATGTCACTTTTGATCAATTTAATGCCATCTTGCTGAATATTAATTTGAGAGAAAAAAAAAAAGTTAGTGTAAGCTAGTGTAAACCCAAATGTTTAAATGCTAATATATATCAAATAAAACTACAATCATTATACATCACATAATTCGTTTTCACAAATTGATCATTCATTTCACTCAGTGAAAACAGAAATGGGCGGGGGGGGAGAAAAGAGGAATGGTTTTAAAAGACGACTTTAAAAAAAAAAAAAAAAGGCTAAATCCTGAGCGAACAGGAATAATGATCATTATAGAGACACATCAGTTACCCCAAATGTATTTTTCAGATATTAATTCATAGTGAACTTGAAAAATGTATGGCCATCTGAAAATGTTTTAGATTTGAATATTCAGGAATTACAGGTTCCTATTGTGGCTGTTGGAAAGTCTATTGTGGATATTCTTTTAAAAGGGTGGGTAAACACTGTTCACATTAGAGCACATGTCCTGTTCATGAAGAGAGATAGCATCATTTGTACTGTAAATATGTACACGCTCCCACCTAGAAGATCCCTAACTGCATTAAGCAACATCTACAATCATAAAATTAAAGGATAACGAGTGACTCAAAGACTTATGTAGAGACTGACTGGAAATGGCATGAATGTGGATAAACAGGTTAACAAATCTGAAGAATGGGACTATTTGGCACCTAGACAAATAGACATTAGTGCTACTACAAAGCTCACAAACCAAATAACTGCTAACAATTAAATTAAATCTGCCAAATACATGGCAAAGTCAAATGGTTGTTCATACTGTACATGACCTTTAACATTCTGACAATAAAACATTCCTCTTGTAGTCTTTTTTTTTAATGACCAGAACAGACACACCCCGTCCTCCAAACCTCACGGATCCAGTTTAGCCAATTGCGTGCAGAACACAACACTACACACCTAATTCTCCAAATAATCTTTAGTTTAAGCCACAGATAATTGCTCAAGTGAAATGATGCAATACAAGAAATTCTGGCACTCTACAAGGTTGAGTTACATTGTATGATGAGCAAACATGTATAAGTATATATAATGGAAGCACAAAATTAACAATGAATTGAAATTTTAAAACAAAAACTGAAAAGAATAACCATGCAGGCATTTCCTTAAAAAAAAACGTTTGGGTTTTGCAAATGCGAAAAATTTTACAAAAACCAAAGAGGCTTTTTTCACATCTGTCTTCATTACACATTTATTTTGTGCATTGTATATAAGGAAGCATACCTTATTTTATGGAATAACATATTTAACAAAGTCAAAAGAGGGGTGTGAAAAAAAAAGCTATACACAATTCCATTCAGAACATTTTTCCTGAGCACTCCACTGGAGTTCAGAAGATCCTTCACAAAGCTCCTTCACAGGCTACCTGCACACAACTTCCTGTAAACAGACAAGCAAAAAGACTTGTGAAAAAGATTCTGATTCGTGACCTTTGACATTAAAAACAGCATAACTATAGACTATAGACCCTTTTCACATTTCCGGGGTTCTCGTTATAGCAGAAATCATCATAGTTAACTTCTATAGTGGTGAATGGAAACAAAACAAAAAAAAGCAAAAGAAAAAAAGTCCATGATAAGGTTTAGGGGGAAAAAAAGAAAGATGTCAAATTTTTCATCACTCTCTCAGCCAATATATTAAGGTGTATTTACACTCTGTGCCTGCTTGAAATTCAGTGTAAAGGCATAATGCCACATAAAAGCCAGACTAAATGCATATTACTAATCAAACTATATTTTGATATATTTAAGGTAGGAAATTTACTAAATATTTTCATGGAACATGATCTTTACTTAATATCCTAATGACTTTTGGCATAAAAGAAAAATCGATAATTTTGACCCATACAATGTTTTTTTGACTATTGCTAAAAATATACCCAAGCGACTTCAGACTGGTTTTGTGGTCCAGGGTCACAATTATGCCTGCTCAGACCCACTTCAGCCCCAAGTATCAAATTATACAGTTGTAATTGCAATGTAAATGCATGTAATGCCACCTCTGAGCAGCATTAAAGAGTCAGTGTAAATACATCTAGGCATAATTTAGTCTGGCTTTTATGCGGCATTGCAGCCTGAAAGGGTTAGTTCACCCAAAAATGAAAATTAGACTGTGTTTTACTCACCCCAGAGGCATCCTAGGTGTATATGACTTTCTTCTTTCAGACGAATCCAGTCGGGAGTTATATTAAAAATTGTCCTGGCTATTCCAAGCTCTATCATTGCAGTCAACGGGTGTTGCAGTGCTTCAGTCCCAAAGAAGTGAAATAAAAAGCGCCCATCCATAAAAAAAAAAAAAGTGTCTCACATGGCTCCGGGGGGTGAACAAAGGCCTCCTGTAGCGAATCGATGCGTTTTTGTAAGAAAAATATCCATATTCAAAACATAATAATCACTTTAATCTAGCTTGTGCCAACAGTTGTACACAAAAGCAGATCCGGGCTGATGACGTATGAGGTCAGCGTTGTGCATGCGCCGGTGAGTCTCGTGAAAACCAACGTTTGTTAACAGGAGCAAAGGAAGCAAAGTTTCCTTACTTTAGCAAAGGAAAACCAGTCTCCTCTTGGCTTATATCGAAATCCTCTGACATTCTTCTTTACAAATCCT